CAATACTGAAAATAAATATATTCATAGTCTTGCATCTTTTGGTTTTGCTTTTGTTTCCCCAGCCAATGAATTGTGAGCTAAGGGACCAAAAATTCCATGTCATTCACCTAACTTTCTTCGACAGCATTTCTTCTCCAATTCATTGAACATTCAAATATTCGTCTGCTTGTGGCACCAAACTTGTAAATACTTGTGAATGGCCAGTACATGTTCAGACGTTACTGGCTGTGTGTAAATGCAATGGTGACAGAGTTCTTTCACCATTTGTGAGGAGAGCAATACAGAAATCAAATTGTTCATCCTAAATTGTTCTTTTCCTAAAATTGTTCTTTTCCTAAATTACAGCAGTGATCCAAAGACTAAATATGCTGTGTATCACTGAGCTACACCTACACCATCTGAAATGTTTCATGCTTGTTTTAACTATTGCAAAAAATTCAGTGTCCATATCATTTCTTGGAGATTCTTTTTGGCTTTACAGACTACCCCAGAATTAGTTTCCCAGTCTTTTGTCTACAGGTGGGGAACTTAGAAGATACAGACAGTTGAAGTACAGTCATTGTCTTTGCAGAGTCAGCATGCATTTGGAGAGGAGAGTACAGGGGTGGTTCAGGTTTTTTATTTATATTGCTATAAAACAACTCATATTTAAAATCTAGTTTTCAGACTGGTAACCACTTTTCATATATAAATATATTTAAATAGCTGAAGGTGAAGATGATTAATATTAAAATCAATCCTAAAAAGTGTTGGGAAACATTATTATAGTACTTTTAGTTGTGGCAACATATTTCCTACTTAACACCGTGGACCTTATAAATGCTTGAGTTTCCTGACAGTTACAGTAATCAATAAAATCAAATAAATTAATTTTGTGAGTTTTACAGACTTTGCACCTGTCTTTCTCAGGCCTGTCTCTCCCTGCATGCAAGCACTGGGTTCCTTGCGCAGTTGCTGGCAGACGCTGCAACGCTGGCCTTCACCAGGGTGCCACAAGGCTGGCTGAGCAGCGCGCGCTCCTGCCCCAGTAGAGGTTTTTCCAGCTGAAAGCAAAGAGAGCAAAAGCATTCCACAGAGAAACTAATGCAGTTATAAGGACCAGTGTCAAATCCTGCGAGCAGTTAAATATATAGATAATCTGGCTAAAGTCAGTGATGTTGCTCATATGTATAAGCTTTCACCGGCCGAAGGTCTAACATTAAGGCTAAGTAGAGGAAAACAGATCCCAGTATTTAACAAGAAAATTGACTCTTTTTTCCTTGAAGAGTTAAGTAAAAATATTCAGCTTTGTTGTTATTATGGAGATAAGTATTGCATGACCATAACTGTTTTCCATATAGTAATTGTGATTTATATAAACACTTATATCCATTTGTTCTGTGCTGTGGAATTTGATTTTTTTTACTTTTTTTGCATTCATTCCCTCATTAGACACTGAAAGAGTTTTATCAGGTAAGGAATTATTTCACTGCATTTTTTTTAGCAATGAAGTAGTTGTAAAATATCATAGATAATTGGGTGTAAGGTTGTGGTTATTTTTTGTGCCGACTTACTGTATTTATAGACATCTTATGTATCTTAATACTTACTAAAGTAAAATGTACTTTTTTCAGGAAATCCAGAGCTGTACTGTAGATCTAGGTATTACATCAGACAGCTCTAATCACCCCGACAACAAGAATAAGAATCGATACATAAACATTGTTGCTTGTAAGTAAATGCGTCACTTGGTGTTTTGTTGAAGAAATTCTGATAGACAAGCATAGATATATATGTTATTAGAGGAAAAGAAAAAGTACCTCTACACTGAAAGCTCTGGATGCTGTTCAGCAAAATGCTTGAAGAGAAGTAGCATGAGATTTCACATCTCTTCAAGTTAGTCCTCTGGCATTCTGCTGCTGCGATGAGCATGTGTTAGCAGGACATATTCATCTCTTCAGAGATCACCCAAAGGGAGCTGGGAGATTTCATTATAATGCCATTATAAAGCCAAACAAGCTGTGTTTTGATTGCCAAAATTAATCCATCGTTGATCTGGAATAACGATGATTTATCCTCTCTAGGAGCTTTATGATCCCTGGATATATTTACTGTCATAGATAAATAGAAATGTACTATTTTTACGTTGTATTGTGCCCTGCCACAACGTAATAGATCAGCTTCGTTAGCCAGGACACATGTTTTGCCATTGCATTGTCCTTCTTCACAATCCCAGAGTTTTCTTTTCTGGAACACATCTATTCAGTTTTGTTAATATCTCTTTGAAACTCTTGCCTCTGGGCTCCTGATCATTTTGGTGGCGTAACGTATTTTTCTTAACTCTGTGTAGTATTTCAACTTTGTTCTGATAACAAGAAGCCCTACATTAAATACACATTCAGCATTCAGCGTCACTAGAACTTTATAGAAAAAGAGACAGAATGAGCCCATCTGGCAGAATACAGTGTAAACCAGCAGGAAGAAATCCTATTCCTCCTGGCTGAAGATACCTCTAGAGGGACAGAAAGTCGGGGATTTTCCTCTACCACTCTGTGCTGGCACCTAATCATACAAAAGGTGCCAACCCAGGGGCTTTGTTATCAAAGAGCAAAGCTCAAGCAGCTTAGGGTAGCTCAAGTAGCAAGAATTGCCGTATGCAACTGAGTGAAGTCTCTCTAGTCTCTGCAGTCAATGCAGGCTACAGAAAGCTTCAGCTCTCTCTCAGGCAGCTGCTGCTGAAGCTCTTCAGCTGAGCAGCTACCCCAAGGTCCCATCGCTTTCCAGGCTCAGGGCTCTGCTCTCCTTGACTTGGAGTGACTGTGCCCAAACACTGGTGCGTGCTGTCGTCTGAGACACCCCCGGGCAGCCAGGACACTCTGCAGGCTTGGCAGGCGTGACTCTGGTCCTGCAGCAGGCCAGTGCCTCTTCACAAGCAGCAGCTGGAGGCTGTAGGGGAGCTTCACGGCGCCTAAAATGACCCCAGGTGTTTCGGTTCAGACAACTAAATTCTGAATCCTTGAGTCCTTGAATTCATTAGTTTATTTTTCTGCAAACTAGAATTTTGAATCTTGTTCATACCTAACCACAGGATGTTTCCATATGTGATTGTCACTGTATTAGCCTTATGGATTGTAAAAATTCATTTCAGTATTTTTTTGAAAGATTTCTTATAGAAATAATGTAATTCTTGCACAAGGTTATGCTTTTTTTCCCTTGTTTTCCTGCAGATGATCATACTAGGGTTAAATTAACACAGCTTGCAGAGAAGGATGGAAAACTGACTGATTACATTAATGCCAACTACGTTGATGTAAGTGCCTTTTCCTACCTGTCAGTCTATTCATCTGTCAGACTTTTCTGTAAATACTGGTGTGTGGAGGTGTATAGACGTAACAAAAAAGAAGTAGCACAATGTTACAGATTTTGTTAAAAAAATGTTTGCTCATCCAAGTTAAGCCTACAAAGTTAAAGTACAGGTAAAACTCCAATTCTTGAAACCATCTTGATACTGTAGCAGCTGCAGCATAATGAAGAGCTTCATGAAACAAATAATGTTTTGTCACGTCTGAGTCATTTTAGAAGCATTTCGCATCTGAATGTTTGTTCTTTTATACATTTTTGCTAAGTGGTTAATTCTTCTATCATCTGAGATAATCTTGTGAGAGAAGATGCCATTTGGCTGAGAGCCTCACTGAGGTACTATTTATTCAGTTTTTCATTACGCAGTAATTTACATGAGAATGATCTTGATTCATTTTTTCAACCACTATCATAACAGATGTCTCATCATCACTATCATGTCAACATTCTGCCAGAACATGGGCACTTGAACATATATCCTGTTTGTTGGAATGATAAACATCGACATAACAGTTGCATTCATATGTCATCTGGTACTGCAGGGTTTCTGTGATTTGGATAGGTATAAATTCAAAAGTACTTAAAAGCTTTTGAGATTCTTTAAAAATAGATGTGTAAAACGTCATGTACTCCTCCCAGCCTCCTTTTGCTCACGGACTGTGATTTGACAAGTGTCATTTGTTATATTTTAATTCAGGGCTACAACAAGCCAAAAGCCTACATTGCAGCTCAAGGGCCACTAAAATCAACAGCAGAAGATTTCTGGAGAATGATATGGGAACATAACGTGGAAGTTATTGTGATGATAACTAATCTCGTTGAGAAAGGAAGGGTATGAGTACCTTTTTCTGTTACTTATTTTTCGGATGTTGATAGATCTACAACATCTCTTTGAAAAATCTGGTTTAGGCATTTATTGAGTAAAAAGCAACAGTTTGTAGTAGTTGCTTATGCTAGGATTGGCTATAGAAGTATAAAGATGAGACTCTGTAGTATGAAACTAAAGAAAACATTGAAACTCAATTGTTAACAGCTGAAGTCTTGAAAATACTATGGTCTAACTAAAGAAGATTGTCTTATACTGAAAAACAGGCCTGTATCTATTTAGGATGGCCAGACTGTGGACCCTGTGCCACATTCTACTAGCAGTCTGCTCTCCATCATTCTCTTTCTCAGGGTTGCCTTAGACCCCAGAAAGGAGAAGGCTGTAGTTTGGGTGAATTTTTCTGGATACAGTGGCTGCTCGCTGTTAACATCCCATGGGACACACAGTTCCTTTCCTAGGACTAGATAGATGTTTGTCCAGTGAGACAGAGCAAGGTCAAACCCCATCGCAGGGTGTGTGTTTCTCTGGCTATGTGATAGGAGAATGCACGTACCCTGAGGTCGCTTGAGGAGACATTGCATCGCGCTTGCCACAGACTGGCAGCAGTGCCTAAAATGCATGTAAGTCTCTTCCATACAACCTGTTAAGCATCTAAGAGATGATACAGACACAGCAAATGCAGACGAGGGCCACACTGGGAGTACCATTCCACAAACATGTACTCTTCTAGTACTCTTAGAGAAGGCTGTATGGCTGCCCAACCAAAAGGCTGGACATCACAGCTCTCTATATACTGGCCACACACAGGCTCACCCTTACCCTCGCTGGTCAGATATAAGCATACTCTGCCCATGCTATGAACCAACCAGCAGGAACATGTGACTCTACTGACTTGAATGTGGTCCTGTTATTCCTATAGATTACCTGTTATTTTCTTTGGATTTTGGAGTGCTTATGGAACGGCGAGTTCCACAATAGGAGAGTACTGTAGCTCCGATAGTATGATTTAAACCTCTCTTTTTTTTGAGTATTCCAAATGCAGAGCGTCTTTGCACAACCATCTCTCTTTACAGCACAAAATAAATACATGTTATTTGTTCTCTTGTGCTGAAGTTCATGTCTATTATAAACTGGGTATGTTGAAAGTCCCTGTATGTTTTTGTGGTTGACTGTGCTCTGAAATTTGAACATTTTGCCTTGCTAGTTTGACATTTTGTTTTCTTTCTCTGTTTCGGTTTTTCATTTGCTTTCTAACAGAGAAAATGTGACCAGTACTGGCCTGCCGAAGGTAGTGAAGAATATGGGAACTTCTTGGTTACTCAGAAGAGTGTTCATGTGCTTGCCTATTACACTGTGAGGAATTTTACTCTTAGAAACACCAGGATCAAAAAGGTTTGTGGCATGCTGAAAACATGGTTTGGGCAAAAGGGAGTGTTAAGAGTTGCACAGAATACTTTTCAAGGCAGTTTGCAGCTCTTCTCTGTTGTATAGGTAAAGCTGAATCCTGTAGGTCTAAACTAGCCAAGATGCTCATCAACTTCAGAGCTAATTTGACCAGATCAGCAAATTGAGAAGATACTGGCCTGTAGTACTGGTGCAATGTAGGACCATCAGGGAAAAGGCTGTGACCACACTGGAGAGCTGATTTGGGCTTTGCCTGCCTGGTGAGCAGGAGGACACATTTTCAGAAAGAGAGCAGCTAGTAGAAAACGTGGTGTGAATTAAGTCATACACTCTAGCTATCAATTTTCATTTTTAAGGACTGGATTTTTACAGCCCACAACCAGCAGGCGCTCAGCTCAGCTGTGTGACATTGACTGCTTTGAGGGACATTCTGAAAGCTTAATTTATTTCAGCCACCCAATTGTTAGACATCTAGTCTCCCGGCCATTAATGGCTAAAGTACAGCACTTGGTGTCAAGTACTTATTCTGCCTGTTTTAGGAACCAATCTTTGAATGAGGTAACCTGCTCCCCGAAGATATCCCTGCCTCTGAGTTGCCACCAAGCTGACCTTAGAAAAGCAGCCTACACAAGGCTGCTTCCCTTGTAAGTCACTAAAGCTGAGTGAGTTGAATCCTACCCTTTCTGTCCGCCCAGCAGAGGAGCAAAGTGGCAGAAATAGCTGGTGACTCTTAAGAGCAGCTGTGATTTGTTATTCCTCCAGTGCTCTTGGCCTTTCCCTGTGGCTTTCTAAGGGACAGTGCCAGGCCATTTCTCCATTCAGAGGGCAAGCTGATGGGACAGAAGCACTGGCCTTTCCTCTTCTCTTTGAAAGCTGGAATATTCAGAACTCGTTGGCATGCTGCTAACTAAATAGGGACAGTACTAATTCAAGAACTATCATGTACGGAAAATTCTGAAGAGTTGCCGTTCAGATGTGACCTGCTCACATATGGAATTATTTTTCCGTTGCAGGGTTCCCAGAAAGGGAGGTCTAGTGGGCGTATCGTAACTCAGTACCATTATACCCAGTGGCCTGACATGGGTGTTCCCGAATACACGCTGCCCGTGCTCACCTTCGTGCGGAAGGCGTCGCACGCCAAGCGCCACGCTGTCGGGCCTGTTGTGGTTCATTGCAGGTGTGGTTTTTACCGTCGTAAGGTTCACTCCGCTTTTATTTTGCAGAAAAAAGAATTTCTTAGTGGTGGGCTAAGCAAAATTTCACTCTCACATTTAACAATTGCTGATGGAATAAGATTAATTTCTCAGCTGATGTTTCTGTCCTTGGTAAGGCTAACTAATCAACTGTCTGTGCCACTTCTGTAAATCCCCGTAATGGCTGTAAACAAGGTGCTGCTGCTCTGCACTATGTTCTTTTTTTTGCAAAAGTGCTTTTCTTTATACTTTTTTGCACATTTCTATACTACTCTCTTGATTGCTGTGAGCTTACCGGATACGTATATAGCAGTAATTGTTTCATTTCTGCCAATATATCGTTAGGATGTTTTTGGCTCATGCTTTCTTTGGTGCAGGGATACTCTGTAATCCTAAGGGGAGCTCTGTCCGTAAAAGAAGAGTCACTCTGTTCCTGGCTGAACTACAACTCTGCTGGTTTTAACATTACTCTGCGCTCTAGCAGTCATTTGCAATGGAGGAGCATTCTGGGGAACGGTTTGAGGTCTGCATGTGCCGCAGTGTGCAGGCAGGTGTTCTGGCGGTGCTCACTAAAACTGGGCAGCTCAGGGAGAATTGGTTAAAAAGGTCTCGTAGGGCCTGGAATGACTTCACAATGCCCGTGAAGGACCGGGTTATTGTAAAATATATAAGCAGGTTCTGGTTTTCCACTGTAGTACCTCACCTTTGATGGAACATTTGGAAAGAGAACCTCCTCATGAATTCTGTCCTTCTGGAGCTGACTCTGAGGAAGCCAACAGGTAAAGTCGCCTCGCAAATGCTGCAAATGAAGATATTTTATTTCTAGGATTATCTAATCTGACTGAAATCTGTTTTTAGCTTGGAAAATGGAAATTCCACATCTTGGTTGTTCTGCTGCTATCTACATCCTGCCTGTCCTTGGGAAGTTCAAAATAGTTTCCCCAAAATGCCGGGTCTGGTATCTGTGCCAGCAGGCTGAGAGATCAGCAATACATTATAAGTCAATTAAATTGAGTTTTTAGGAAGTGAACAGTGGTAAGTTGTGTGGCTTCAGTCAGACCTCTCCATTGGGTCATAGGTATAACTCACCTCTGTAGGCATTTTTATTCACTTGTAGTTCACCTGTCCCCATGCACTATGGAATTCCAGTGGAGTCATCTCGTCTTAGAAATGCAACTTTGATTTATCTTTACAGGCTATATGGAGGACATATATGAGGAACTTCACGAAACATTTTTTAGCTGTTTTTATGTTTTGGTACTTTTCATGTTTTGTCTTTCATAACAAGTACCAATGGTATCTGGTAATCTTTATGGTCTTTTTTTGTTGTGTTGGTAACTTGGTCCTTTCAGTTTTATACCACATCTATTTAGACAGTTCATTACAGCATTCTGAGCTTACACCACACGTGCTTTGTGCCACCTCTGTAGAGGAAATGAGATGACTGGATTACATGTACGGACTGAGCTTGGATGTGCCCCTAAGGGGCCGTGCAGACCCAGCACAGTCTTGCTGTCAAGTTACATGTACCAATACACATAACGTTTCCGCATAAGTTAGAGGGGAGTTACAACTGACTAATTCCCCTATATGGTTAGATAACAAAAAATGACCTCTTGACCTTGTACTCCCTACCCAGATATTTTATGAAAGAAAGAGTTGGGTTTTAATCTTAGGATACAGCTGGTTTTGTGCTAAATGAGTCAGAGTTCTTAACAGGAATGAGTTGATTAACCCTTTCTTCTGCATATTGCCTTTCTAAGAAGCATTTCAGCCGTTGCTTGCCATCTTAGCTGTATCTGGAGAGCATTAAGCTTTTTCTTTTACAGATATACCTTCAGCAGCTCTGCCACTTCTTGGGATTTTCCTCAGTCCAGCTTTGAAATCTCCGATATTTATAATGGGTGGCATAATGCAACTTTCGCTTTAAAGTGATGTGTGTTTCGACATAGAAGAACTTGAGCACATTAACTGTGCCCAAAAGCTGATGTATGCCACCGTTTCTAGGTATACTTCACAAAGTATCCTAAGGAACATCAGAAGCCTGAAAATCGCAGACCTTCAGGAAACCCCTTAGTTCTATTTCAACTGGTACTTTAAAAATTGTTTGAGAAAACGATCTTTAGAGTTCTGCTTGCACAAAGAAAAAGATGAGTGAAAATATTTTTCATTACCAGCTGTGAAGGATTAGCAAAGTGTATAACATAATAAAACAATTTGTAGAGGAAGATCTTCCTCACACACCAGTTTGTTGAAAAAGCTATGTGTAAGCAACAGATCTTTTCATTATTGTTTTACTTCAGGCTCAAGACTGTTTATTTGTTTTGTAGTGCTGGTGTTGGAAGGACAGGCACATACATAGTGTTAGACAGCATGCTACAGCAAATCCAGCATGAAGGGACAGTCAACATATTTGGATTCTTAAAACACATACGTACCCAAAGGAACTACCTGGTGCAGACTGAGGTAAGAATAAAATATATATAGTGGGAGACAGTTACTGACTATTTCTGTTTGCAAGAGGAGAGATGATGCAGTCCTCTTTTTGGCACCACCAGACAGACTGGCAACCAGTCACCAGACTGGACTTTCCCTTTTGCTTCCCTTGTTTTTATAGAGACATTCTCCTAGGCTTGCTCAGAGCAATGCACTAGATCTTACTTATCTGTGGGCTCTTGTCTCTTTATTAGAGAGGACTCAGAACAGAGGAAGTCTGTGTAAATCATGCTTCCCACAGTAGCCCTTGGCAGGGCGTGCATTTTTGTCTTAGATTTTTTTAAGGAACCACCATTGTCAGGTGTTCAGATCTTTGCTGAACCTGATCAAACAGTCAATATCAGGCAATAAGAAGTAGGAAAAAAAACCTATATTTCAGGCAGAAGATTATCTATAGGTGCTTTAAACTGAAGAATATATGTAGAAGAGTGAAAGACCAGAAGAAAACAATAAGGACAACAGCAGGGCATTTGAAAGTCTATTTCAGGTTTCAAGAACAGCTGGTTAGATGCACCAATGTCTTTCAATTGAAAAAAAAAAGGTAATCAACAACAGCATGGGCACTTGTTCCAAAGGATGTGAGAGAGAAAATAGAGGATAGCAGTAGGAACTGGGAGTGATCACTTTATTGCAAGAAAGGCAGGGAGAGTCGCGTAACAAGCTGACTTGAAAATTTGACTCAAGGCTGTGCTTGTGTTTTTAACTGTGTTCTGGGAACATAAGATACCGCAGGTGGTGGGAATTTGGTATTATATCATGTATACATTGCACGTGCAGTTCAGTTGTGCTTGTAAATCTGTGCTGTCACTGCGGAGGGATAGCCTTCACTGCAGAGGATCGCTTTGCAGAGAGCTCCCCTACAGCAGCGCACTGTGAAGAAATACTGACCACGTCAGAAGAGGCAGCTTAGCCCGAGGCGTCCAGGGGAAGCTGAAACTAATTAGAGCTCGGGTGTTTGGTTTTATTTTCCTAGGAGCAGTACATCTTCATTCACGATGCATTGGTCGAAGCAATACTCAGTAAAGAAACAGAAGTTCTTGAGACTCACGTTCATGCCTATGTTAATGCTCTCTTGATACCTGGACCAACAGGAAGGACCAGACTGGAGAAACAATTCAAGGTGAGCTCTCCAAGGCAGTAACAAGAAAAGCTTTAGGCTTGCAGGCTTGAATGACTTAAAAGTAGGTATCTCAACACAACTTTCGTTAGCTTTCTCTAAAATTTAACTGCTGAGCCTAAATTCAGAGCAATTTAACAAATCCATGCAGTCAGTTGGAGTAAAAGAATTATTTGCATATGCTTAAACAAGGAATTTAAAAAAAAAAAAGACACAAAAGCATGAGAAAACGGCCAGTAAGTAGATTGTACAAAACTCTAACTACATCCCTTTGCACGAAGATCCCCAAGGTAAAACAACTATCTGGAAAGATGTCATTCTGGCCAAAATGTCATGAGCTATATTGGTCAATCAGCATATTCCCCTCAGTGTACAGCACTGGCTAGAAGACAGACTTCACCTCAGCAGGCGAGAAGTGACCCCGTTCGTGCTTGTGGATGTGAAGATCAGTGTGTGCCTGCACAGGACTTTGAGTCACCCAGAGAAGGAGCAGACCCAGCTGGGTAACAGCTCTTTGACTCCTGGGGAGAATGGCAAGTCCAGCTCACGCACTGGGCCACTTACTTGCAGAGGAAACACAGAAAATCCTACCTCTGCAAATGAAGTTGAATTCAGAGAAGTCAACCACACTTAAATGTGTTCCAGATTATGTGGGTAAACAGATTTTGCTTTCCCTATTTTAACAGGAAATTAATTATTAGAGCCTTTCTCTCTAAGGATTTTAATTCTAAGGAGGACTGCATGGGATAATGTACGTTACTAGCTATCATAAGTAAAAAATTGAAGCAGGTAAGTCTGTAGAGAATGTCAGTAGATAATGAGGCTATGAAAAATATTAAAGTATATTTTCTGAAGTATTTTGGTCACTTAGACACAGTGACTAGTATTTCTTCAAGATAATGAACAGTACAGAACAGAATAGGAACAACATACCAAAGGATTTCACAGTTTGCTGCTATCCTGGCTTAAATGATCCAACAGCGTTGCACATTTTTTTCCTAGGAAAAAGCAGGGACTCTTATCTCAGCTGTGATGTGGCTGGAGAAATAAGCATCCCACCTTTCCTACACAGATGAAAGAATAAAACACTTAATATATACAAACAGAGTGTGTAAATGTATATAAACTCAGAGTGTACAGTGCAAATTGCAGGAGCCGTGTGAAGCTCCAATTTCAAGAGCTTAACTATGATCAGAAAGACACATCTCATTCAGTCTCATTTTCTTTTGCAAGCTAAAATTGTTAGAATACTGACAAAAATGTGAAGTCTTGTTTTACTAAGAACTATTTTAGATGAAAAAAAATTGTTGTCTAATTTGTTTTGATAGAACATCCCTGGTTTGCTATCTGTTTTTCCAAAGCAGGCAGCTTCTGAAAGCTACGCATGCCCAGCCAAAACATCACAGAAGAGTCTTTCAAATTCTTTTGAACATTCAGATTAATCTGGTTTATTTTACTAGCGATTAAACAAAATGCTAAAAACTAGGAGAAACCTGCTTTCCAAACTTATTCAACTTAGTGCCTAAGCAGTGTATCTACACCATTGTGATGTATATATGCCATTGTGGTGTATATATAAATACATGCTTGTTCCTTCTCAGACTCTTGTCTCTTTGAATTGTATTGACTGAAACAAGTCAGTCGATGAGACCCCCCCAGATCAGTCCTATTTTCCTCTCACAGGTTTGGAGAGGAAATCGGGAAGCTCAGAACAGGGATATCTAGAGCCGCGTCGCACCAGGAGCTATGCCATCTGTGTTACAATGCAGGTTTTTCTGCACAGGCATTTGCTGTTTTCCAAAACTGTTTAGACAAACAGCTGTGCAGGCAAAATGGAACTGACACTGGGCTGGCAACAAGCAGTGGGGGGCTGCGTGAGGGAACAACATCGAGCGGCATTGCCTTCAAAAGCCCTGCTTATGGACCTAGGGCTCACGGATCATTTGAACTGGTAAAATAGTGGAAAGATTGTGATGACTTGCTAACTAGTTTAGACAGATAAGTAGATTGCTAAATTTAAGAGGGACAGCTAACCTGCACCCTTATTTTTAATGCAGCTAACGAAGGAATAGCTTTTGTACAGTGACCTGTTTTTTCTTTGTTTTTTTTTTAAATTTGATTGTTTCAGTTACTGAGCCAGTCGAACACACAGCAGTGTGATTATTCAACTGCACTCAAACAGTGTAACAGAGAAAAGAACCGAACTTCGTCCGTCATTCCTGGTAAGCTTGTTCAACTCAGCTTCTTGGGGTGGCAAAATGTTTACAGGCTCTGTGAGTCAAACTTTTAACTTTTCCTGAGAAAGAGCTGAAAGCATCTGCATCAGTGTGGAGCAACGTTTTGTAAAGTACTTTTAGTGAAGAAATAATATGTCTAACTACTACATACATAGGAAAACAAAATAGATGGCTGGATAGCACGTTATCCTGGTTTATGGATCTTAGTGTTATCATTAGTATGAGATATGTGAGATAATTGCTCTAATATATGAGTCAATGCAACATCTGTACTACTTCATGACTTTTTTTTTACAGTGGAAAGATCTAGAGTGGGTATCTCATCTCTGTCTGGTGAAGGGACAGACTACATCAATGCTTCCTATATTATGGTAAGTCACTTAACTGTGATGCTGAAAAACAGTGTCCCATCACATAGCAGTTTTCAGAGCTGCCATATGTCCACGTTAGGGTGGCACGGTCCTGATTTTGAAAGCTCCTGCCTTCCATTATTCACTCTGCCTGAGAGTTCCTTCCCCCAGGACGTATGATTGCTGTTCTTACTGGTTTTAAGCTTGGTGAAGTGCATTGCATTTTGGCAACTTGTAGAACCAGAAATCGCATCGCAGTTTTAAAACTGGTAAAGGTAGATGCCACCTATGGAAGAATCTTTTGAGATTAAATGAAAGCGTTGACTAACAAGTTAGTTTTTAATGGCTGTACCATGGTTTGCCTTCCTACCTGCTTTTGCAACTGGCATAGCCCAAGGCACCATAGCTCATCAGCTTTCCATTACCTTTTTGTTCTCTGTGTTTTCTTCAAATCTTTTCCCCTTGATTAGCTGAGAGGGAGGAGTAGATGCTTCCTCGACACTCAGGGAAAAGATGGGAAAGCTCCGTGCTGTGCTGTGTGTGCATGATCCTTCATCGGGTGCATTTAGTGCAAACAAACTCTCTTTTGTGGTAAGAAGTTGATCTGGGACATCTGTACAAATTAAGAGACCACTTGAGATTTTTGCAGATCTTTCAAGTACTCCTCTGGAAGTCTGGCTAATGTAGAGCAATTAGCATGTGTGTATGAGTTCATGTATTTTCATTCGGAGTTCGCTGTTCAAGTATCCATTGATTTCTTTTGACTTTTATTTTTGATCAGGTTTTTTTAAGTTTTAAAAAATATTTCAGTGTAATTGATTTTATTCTTTCCTCCTGGAAAATATTGCAATCAAAGTTTTATATTCTTCTAATATTTGCAGGAAGCCAAAGGAGGCGCACGGCTGCAATTTATTTTCTAGGCTTCTGGCTCTGTCCACTAGAAGCTTCCTTTAAATTTTAATAGTTGGGCATCATTTCTGAGTCTGTTGATTTTGGTTTGCAGGGTTATTATCAAAGTAATGAATTCATTATTACCCAGCATCCCTTACTACACACTATCAAGGATTTCTGGAGAATGATATGGGACCATAATGCCCAGCTAATAGTCATGCTTCCTGATAGCCAGAATATGGTAAGTTTTGTGGCTGATTGTTGTGGGTTTATGTATGAATTTTATTAGTATTGCCATTTTGAAATATACAGGACATGAGGCAATATCTTGGATGTTGCAAAAAAAATGATTAAAAATAATACTGTACTGAATGTAAAATCCCCAAATCATCTAGTGGAAATCTGGAGATCCTTGTCTGGGCAGATGGTAACTGGCATGAGAAAATATTGAATCACTCCTGTATAATTTATAAAAAGAGTCAAACAGCAGAAGTAACCCTTATGCGAGGTTAGCTTTCGCTGTAGGCCTTTTACTTTAGCTGTAATATGGATTCTTCAGCCATTTATTAGGTAAGGAGAGAAATACGGGGTTGTTTCTCTTGCTCATCTCCTAAAGTTACAAACAAATGTTTAGCAGGGATTTGTCTGACTCTAAACAGAGAAAAAAGCTCATGTATTCATCCTGCATGTGTAATTTAGTAACAATGAACATGTTTTTCAGTTACTAGAAATGGAGAAATATGTGAGAGCTTTTAGGTTGGTACTTACAGAGATCTTGAGGTGTGAGAGGGTAATGTTTGCTAATGAGTTTGGAGGAAAGCCAAGCAAACACTTTGGAGAGTCTTGCATGATTGGAAAAACATGTACAACCAAGACAATGTCTGGTTTTTCTTCTCATCAAATGTTTTACAAATATTACGATTCCTATAAAACAGATGGATTTTAAAGTTAGACTTTGGGATAAGGGAGGTTGTTTTCCTAGGAGGTGCTGGTTCATTGTGATCACAGCAAGAGAGGCACTCAGACTCTGTAAAGTATCATTTAAAATGCTATTTATTAGAGCTAACGCTACAAAGGAGAGGGTAGTGTAGATAACCTTACAGCATTCCAGATGCTGGGAACCCCGAGTTGTGCGGCATTGAACGTTTCTCTGATCAAGGTGCGTCACACCGTGCAGCTCCCATCCACAGAAGGGTTACCCCCATTTTGGGCATTCAAGCCATTACAGGATTTTCTTAAAAGAAAACAGCTCTGTTCATCATTTCTCCTGTCAGACAGAAAGGGTGTTCTCATGAGAGCTTTTTGCTGCACTCTCGGATAATTCCGGGCCACGCAGGAGCTGCCGCAGCCACCCAGCTGAGTTTAGCGGGTGGCCGGCGGCTGTGGGCAGCACGAAGCAGCCCCAAGGCCGGGCTGCACGCGGGGCACAGCGCAGCGCGGGCTGGCTGTTACATGGGTCGCTGTCTCCACAGGGCACAGTGGTCTTCTGGTCAGAGACCTCGCTGCAGAGATAGCTGAAAACCATCGCTTGTAACGTGTGTAATCCTACTCAAATTTTGATTTCTCAGTTTAAATCTGGCTGCCTGCGTTGATTACAGACGTGGAACATTATTTATTACGTAGGATTAAGTTTTATTTTAAGAGCTGAACATTAATTACTTTTATGTTTGGGTTGTTTTCTTTTCCTGGAGGCTGAAGATGAATTTGTATACTGGCCAAACAAAGATGAGCCCATAAACTGTGAGAGTTTCAAAGTTACTATGATTGCTGAAGAACACAAGTGTCTGTCTAATGAGGAGAAGCTCATAATCCAAGACTTTATTTTAGAAGCTACACAGGTAACACTGTCATAAGCGTGTAACTCAGGACTTGATTTGTTAAAGGTAATGCCTACATTTTGTTACATTTTTTATGCTAAATTAGTGGTAAGATGCCCAGGGAGAGAGTAGCTTCTATAGGTGGTTTGGTGGCAGTGGGAATAGGATAGTCCAACCTCCACAGCAGTAGGATTCTGTATCTGGAAGCTGGAGCTGGACTGGAACACGGTGAAGGATAAGAATAAGGACAGTCCATCTTTTACCAAATCGATTTATGCTTTTTCCCCCTCTTTTAGGATGACTATGTACTGGAAGTGAGGCATTTCCAGTGTCCAAAATGGCCAAATCCTGATAGTCCAATTAGTAAAACTTTTGAGCTGATCAGCATCATCAAAGAGGAAACTTCCAACCGCGATGGACCCATGATTGTACACGATGAGTAAGAACGGCAGCTTTCAGTTTGTTTTGCTGTTTTTCTGTAGAACCACCCTTTCATTTCATTTACAGTGAAAGCCGCTGAAATAAGACACAAAGTCTACAGCTAACAATAGCGCTCCTGCTTCTGTTTCGGTTGCATCAACAAGAGAAACATTTTTATTTTATCACAATTCAGTGTTCTCTTTTCAATTCTATGATTTTCATACTCTGGATGATTGTTGAGTAAGGCACTGGAGAGGAAATCAATCAGGGCTATGTTGTCTATTGTGGAAAGAAGTGAGACTGTTTAGATGAGGAAACTTACCCTTCTCCAGCTGTTTAATAATGGCCAGAAATACTGAAATGTTGAAGTGCTGAAGGACCTGAGGCATTCAGGATTTGATTAGTGGCAGATTGTATGGAAGTAACTCTAAGACTGGCTTTTAAAGACTCTCCAGAAATTGTACCAGGTGTTGTGAAGGTTGCGTTAAGGCACTGCTGGGCAGACCTGTTTCAGAAAGTGTAAAGATCTCATGACAGATATTCACCTTATCTATTTACCCTGGATTTTGTATTTTCTCCAGCTGTAGAAACTTGATCCAGTTTCTAGAGACTTTTTTTGTGTGTGTTTTGTATTTGTTTTTTTTTACTTTATAAAGGCATGGAGGGGTGACAGCAGGCACTTTCTGTGCATTAACAACACTGATGCATCAACTGGAAAATGAGAATTCAGTGGATGTTTACCAAGTAGCAAAGATGATAAATTTGATGAGGCCTGGAGTCTTTACAGACATTGTAAGTAATAAGCAAAATGTGTGCATTTTTTTTTTTTTTCCTATGTGTGGTGTAATTAGCATGCTTAGATCTTAGGGCAACGTTACTGAACCATTGGCATCTTAGTTTCTGCATGAGTTAATCACAACTGTCTTCCGGAGGTGCTGCAGTGGACCTCCTGCTTATTCCAAAACAAAGTACTTCCCATGAAAATCTGTTATGTAGTTATCACGTGGTCGTACTCAAAACGTGCA